ACCGTTTCAGTTTGGACAACACTTTGCTATTCCGTGGAAAACAGGCTGTTGACATACCACTGTCACGCTACATGGTTAAAAAAAGAAAAATACTCAGTTGTTGGTTTATTTGAAGCAACAATTCACGTACCAGGACAAAAGTCAGGGCTGTCAGGAGAACTCGTGTCTTTTTCTAAGCTGATTTTGGGTTTTTAAACACGCCACTTTAATTTTTTTCATCACTTCCAAGAACTAGATTTGACAAATACTGCAAATTACATGTCAATAAAAAAAAATGTAAAAAAAAAAATGGGTGTGTGAGACAATAAATAATATTTACATTTTTCCAAAAACTACAATAAGGTTAATGGGACAAAGCCATTTTAATATGAGAAACATAGAAACAGAACATTAACATTTTTCCATTTCTTACTCCTACTTACATTTTTATTTAAAACCCTAAATTGCTGCTGGTGAACCACTGACCTACAAGTTTAACTGTACGACTCCCAATAGTACCAACTAGACAATATATCAAACGTGACTACGACAATACAACAACCTGACGAGTGAGGTTTTGTTGGGAAATATTTTCTCTGAATCACTGAGCTGCTGCTTGTTGTTTGACCCATTTTCTAACAGGGAACCAGAAAGGTGCAAATAACAGTGACACATATTAAGTAGGATTAACATGTTGTCACATCATATTTGTCACTAATAATCCATTAACAAAAGCATGAGAGAGAACAAAACCAAATATTGATACTAACGCTGGGATCTCCCCATTTTCAGAAACCGCTCCCCGTGACAGAAAACAAATAAAATACCTCAATAAAGACGCCAACAGGAATGTGTGCATCTTCCCGGAGGACAATTACAGCATGTGGAATTACAGCCGGAACACCAGTTGCTACATGTGGTTGAAGTTTTGGGAGAATCAGTCAAGTGGCCGTGTGTAAAATACAGAGTCGATCTAGATGAGGCGTTCACAACTGGATGGTCCAATTCAGAGCGAGGGTCCTTATGCCCATGACTACTTTTACCAAAATTGACATAAGTTTGTACATTTGTACTAAGCAATTTAAAAACTAACAAAAATACTAGTAAATGCATCTTTCCCCATCAAGGTAAAAGCTTTGGTAGTTTTATTTTTTTTTGAAAACCATTAAAAAAAATTAAACAAAAATCAATCAAACTCTCATTCTTTAATTTCACATTTTAACAGTGGCTACTACTAAATCTTGAGAAAAAAATTTTTTTCTAAAAGTTATCCAAGTTTGGGAGTACTGCACTCTCAAACTGAAAGCTGGAAAAAAGCACAAAAATGGCTGATGTGTAAAGGTTGCTGACCAGTGATCTAGACTCAAAATGTGCAGTAAACATTTCCTACAAATTTGCATTTAAAAAAACTCTAGTAGTTTTGTGCGAGTTAAACATGAAGCACACATCCCATAAAAGCACAATCGGTTCCTGACACTGAGGTTGAAAACAAGCGTGTGCGTTCTCTCAAATATGCCAATTATAACTTCTAGCCGAGTGGTAACTTGTATACCTGGTAGGAAACATAGCTCTACCGATTCACGAGCCGGAACCAGTCATAACCTTGCTTCTGTGATGACTTTATAACATCTGGTAGCTGTGTAAACATTTTAACGAACACAACCTTGATTAATAATTAAACTGTTGACTATTTCCAAGCCATCTCCTCCTGACTTCACCCTAGAAAAAAACTGTACACCTGAGTAGTACAGTTTTACACCTCAGTTTATAAATATGCCAACAGCTTATTAAATTACGTTTATAGGTGTATTTCAATTGAGTTCTGAAGAATATTAAAGTCAACGTGGACAAAGTCTAAAATTTCAAAAAGGAGCCATATATGTACTTATAACAACAGGAATTACTGCCGAGGAAAAAAACAGAATAGTTATTTCTAATTTGCAAACATGCACTATTTGACCAGTGAGTGCATTTCAGGCTGTTTTTCCCCGCCAACAGCAGATCTAGTTTCAGAGCAACATTTATTTCTGACTTAATCGTCACAACAGTGATAATAAAGTCAAGGAAACAAACCTGTTGCAGTGACAACATGACCCACGCTGCCAGACCACAGCAAAGAATGCATTTCACCAGGGACTTTAAACAGGCTTATATTAGTTGTGCTAATAATGACAACCAGCTGACTGGACAGAAGTGCTGATCTCAAGTAAATTGTACCATCTGCAAATATCTGTTTATAAACACATTCGTTCCCCAGCATCTTCTGAAGAAATATGCTTAAAAAAATAAAAAACATCTTTCGCGGTCGTCTGCTCTTTCAGCCCAGTGCTGGTCAGCACTGTGGATGGAAATCTCACCATTCTAAGATGTTGGAGGGGAGAGGTTCTGCACAGATGTAAGGCACTGGGTCTTTCTTTATCCTGAGGTAATCCTGCTTAAGTCGCTGTGTGGCTGTCGTTGGAGCTCTCTTATTCCCGGTGTTGTTCATCTGAGATCAGAAAAAATAAAATAAAATAAAAATTCAGAATGAAAAATGTATATCTTACTCTCACTAATATACAAATTAGCTTAATAACATTCAAACACTTTTTGATGTAACAAAACTTTTGATAGCTTATTTTTATTTACCTTATAAAACCAACATTAGCATCATAATAAAAACAGAAATAAGCAGAAAAAAAGTCCTTGTTTATTTTAAACACACCTCAAAACAAACAAACAACAAAAAAAAGCTTACAAATTTCTTCTAGATCATTTATTGAGTGAAAACTTGTCCAAACTATGTTCCTGAAATAGCTGCATGGACAGATGGATCCGAGTCCAGCACAGAGATTATATATTGTATAACACGACACACTGAGACAGGTAATCAAGTTGTTTAATCTGAAAGGAGAGCAGTTCACTGTAGTTTGTCCCATCTGAGTGGAAAACATTACTACAGCAAAAACAAACCACAACATCCCAGTTAAAACGACATCCTTCAGCAGTTGAACTGAGTTCAGTCATGTGAATGGCAGAGGCTTAGACCTTCACTACTTCTTAAAGTTACCATTACACCCTGCAGATATAAATACATGCCACTTTAACAGAGCAGAGATAATTCTTATAATTAAAGTATATCATTTGGTGATGCATATTAGTATGAATATATTAACTTGGCAAAGACAAATTCAAAGAGTGGAAAGACTTCCAGTAATAACACCAGTTTGAGGTATGCTGCCTTCTGACAGAGCTTTCCTCTGACCTGATAAAGAATGATTATGTAAACGCTCACATTCTGCGCAGGATATTAATAAACTGTGATTTTCACATTAACAGTGATAGGTAATTTATTTTTTTCTCCCACAAGTACCCAGGTCAAAGCTGGCCAAATGTAAAATTGTACTTCACTGAGAGCAATGGCGGCAGTAACTGCTCCATTACTTGCTCAAGGACAGCATCAAAAAGTGAATTGTGTATGCAATTTTAATTCTTATGTAGCAATTAAAATTAATTTCAGAAGAAATGCAATTGTACTCTCTAGATATCTGAAAAATCTAAAAAAATAAAAAAAAAATTAAAAAAAAACTATTTCATTTCAACATTTTAGGGCCACAAAATATTGAAAACAGTCATTGCAATTTTACTGCTGAATATTGAAAACAGATGTTGAATTTCAATTATATAAATATGGGGATAACACTAAGTGAAAGTCCACCCAAATGACTAAAAATTATGAATATCATTAGCATGGAGGCAATAATTGTTTTATTGCAAAAATCGACACTGCAGGCAAAATTTAAATATTATGCAGTTCTGTTTGTAAGGCATTGTGACCTTTGTTTTCCATTAACCTAGTTGTTGAGATCTTGAAATAAAAAAATAGAACTGGAAGATAAGAGATTTCAGATAGCTGGACAATATCATCAATGATAACCATCAGAGCGATTATAACATATTATGCAATTTCATAACAGTCTTCCATTCCCACAAAGCAAATATGAAACTAAGTATTGCTATTCCATCACATGACTACATTCGAAATGTACTTTTCAACCGCTCACGTATTAGCCGTTTAAGTGAAAATGAGAAATGTGCCCTTCTACCCATTGACCTACTATAGTGGCCAAACAGCAAACTAATGAGTTATACGTGGTCTGCAACAGTGTGTAAAGTATGACGAGAACATTACCTGATGAACAGGACCGTCTTAACTCAACTTACTTAGCTAGTGCTAATCCGCTAGTTGACGTGCTAAGTTAATATTGAGACACTGACAGATCGATAAGTTAGCCAGATCTATGTGGAGCAGCTGTTTAATCACGAACTGTAAACAAATATTTCATTTACAAACCACAGAAATATACCAAAATTTGTTGACAACTCGTGAAATCACAGTATATACTGTCTGTTATAGCTGGTGAACTTCTCCCGGCACCAGCCTCCAGCTAGCAAGTACAGCCGTTAAAAAGCTGTTTCCAGTACCGTAACGCTAACGGCTAACGAAGGCCGTTGCTACCTAGCTTTAGCTATCAGCTGTCATTAACAGCTCCCATACAGACGAGCTGCCACAACGTCTCTCATTTTTTCCCCTACCAGTGGGTGTCTAATGTCGACATACCTCTTCAGAGACTCCAATGAGAATATTTGTTCGTGGCTGGGCACGAAATAAAGACTGTTGTTTTTGTTGTCAAGCCTCCACACCGAGAAGACGATGACACCAACGTAGCTTTAGCTAACGTCACCAGCAAGAACAGTTGCACTTCCGGTTTCTTTCTTCTCGTTGAGAGGTTCTTTAGTGTCACCAGCTGATGTGGAATAATTCGCCATTTAAACCTTTTTAAAGGCGTACAAAATGTGGTTGGCAAATATAAACTCCTATTTATTTTAGGGAATTACCATTAAAAACTGCAACTTGTCTGACTTCAGCATTGTTTACCTCATCAAACAGCTGGCATGCCTTGTAGACAACACTTTTATGAAGGTTCATTTACCAAATTTAAACTTAAAACAGACTGAACAAAATATTCACACAAACCCTGAAATTTGCTTCTTTTATTTCATTTCTACCCTATTCATCATAGAGTATGAATATTCCAGCAAAACCATTTCCAATGTTCTTTAAGCTTTCTTTTATTTTTAGACATCAACAAAAAAAGATGATTAATGGTTAAATTCAGGTTATAACAAAAAATCTACTGCATACTGATTTATATTTATGTTTATTTCATATCATTTTGATGATCAGAGCTTACAGCTAAACTCTGACACAGACAAACTTTTCAGTAGACTCACAATTAAACAGCTTTTTGTTCATTTTATGATTTTATTTTAATCAACGGAGAAACTGAATTTTGGGTTTTCATTATCAGTAAGCCATCATCATCATCATCATCATCATCATCATTTCACCTTTTTGAATTAAATAAACTTTTTAATATTATTCCAATTCATTGGGATGACCTTGAGATTTTGGCATGGCCAACACCCAGACTTAATCTCATCGAGAAAAATATGCAAAGCTGAAACCTCATGGCTTCCTTCACCGTTGTTTTTCTTTAAATTATACGAGACAACAGTCATTTCTCATCACATTTGAGCACAAGCTTGACTCATTGCTGACAACAAAAGAAAAACATCCACACCCATTTCATCAGTGTGCGAATTCATTTGCCAAGCAGAGAAAAAAAAAATAAATTAACATAGAAAATGAGATGCCAAAGATTAGAGATGCAATTCCACATACTGAGAGTGCAGAGTACTGTGCAAAAGCTAGATTTATTGCCTCCTGAGTCCTTTAAATATTTAACCATGTATTATGAGCTACCTTACTAGAAAAAACAAGAGTCAAACAATGTAAGTAATATGAAACATTCAGTTCAACTGCTTCTATTTTAACACATATTGACTAAAGAATGGGCATCAAAGAGATGGTCTGTCGGTCACTACAGCTTCTGACAAAGGCTGAACTGCATGCTTCTTCTCCTCAGCTTCTCGGGCTGGAGAGACGCGAGGACAGAAAACTCGCGAAAGACATCAGCACTGGAGATGCCACCTGTAAAGGGAACATTGAAATCAATGCGACACCATGGAGACCTAAACACTTTTTTTTTTTTAACCTTCTCCACATATGTTTCAAAGGCCATAAACCCAGCAAGTAATAGATAAACCTCTCTTCAGAATTCAGGAGGAAATCCCCGAAAATATTTACAACCACCTAAAGAGAAAAAACCCACAGAGCGTAACGAAGTGAAGTTTGCCTTCCTTCACACATATAAGCTTCATGTTTCAGCAAATGTAGAGCTACAGAGAAACGAGTAGTTGGTGACACCCATTCTTCTTTTATCAGCAGCTCAATTGATTTCCCATGAGAAGTTCTCATCCTGCTCTTTCTTACTTACCAGTGACCTAAATGTTTGTGCCATTTTGACTGGGTTAAACCTAAAATCAGAAGTGATTTCACAGTAGGCAGAATATTTCACATTTTATGGGGGAACGACGTAACATTTCAATTTAACGCTGGAACATTCTGCTCTACTTTATCTTGTTAATGATAGAGCTTTCTCTCTGAGACTCTAAGTAAAGGTTGGAGAGGGTGCACTTAATAGCCTTAACAGCCTTATAAAGTGCAATGCAAAAATTCATCCAGCTTTTTTCACATCTTGTCACATTTCAACAACAAACTTAATTTTTTTTAATTAAAAAGGTATATGTTTGTAAAATGTAAGTAAAAGGCCATGCTTTTTACTTACATGTTTTTTACTTGATGTTTTTTTACATAGAAAAAAAAAAAAATCCAAAAGTGGGAATGACTCTGAAGAGGGGGTGCTTACCGTAAATAATTGTGCAATCAATCCGCTTCGAAAATAAGTAAAAAGAGTACTTTTTGTGAAAGTAATATAAGAAGAAAGAAAGCCCAGATGAGGCCATATTTCATCCATGAAACATGGTAGTATAGCAGCATCATGCTGTGAGGTTCCAATTCTTTGCCAGGTAATGGGAAGTTGATCAGAGTTAATCAGAAGATTAATTTAGCTAAAAGCATAGCAATTGTGGGATTACAACTGTTTAAATGCTGCAAAAGAAGCCTATGCCCATCTAAAAGAACCTACCAGTATTCGTGAATGTCATCTGACAAAATGTGAAAATGTCTGCAGAACATGAACGGATTTGCAAAGCACTCCAAAGACTCTCCATGAAGAAATGTTCAGGTAAAGGATCTGCAAACCAAGGCATCTGACCAATCACCCCCCAAATCACCAGATCAGAAAGAAAGATCCCACTCGCCCTCAGACGGTCCAGATTGCTTCACTCACTCTATCCCGAACATCCTTGTGTTTATCTTTCCTGCTGCCTGTGAAAACCCCTGTGGCAACAGAAGCAATGAGTCATGGGTTATTTCCACACATGGACATGTGTTACATTTTTGGTGTAAAATGAAAAATGAGTCATTTATGAGATATCTTTCAGAATGGAGCTAAATAAAGTCTAACATTAGTAGATAATTAAAGGAAAATAAAAACATTTTAGATTTGAATCCGAGTGTTCAGATTTGGTCTTAAAATGTGAAAAACAAACAATAAATTCAAAAGTAGGAAGTGATGCTAAAGTTTCTTTCAGCTTCAAACAAACATAAAATCCACCAAGCAAAACCAACAAAGAAAATCTTATTTAAACTGGAGTAAACTTGAGCTACATTTCTTTCTATTTTAAATCAGTTTGTTGTGTTTTTAGAGTTCGGATTAAAACTTGACATTCATCTTTAGTTTTTCAGGTTCAACTTTTTTTTTTTTTTCCAAATAAAAATACTTTATAGTCTTTTTTTAAGGTTCATTTGTACTTGTTAAACTTGAAAGCAACTTTTCCCGGCAGCAATTGTGGGGTGAGTTTACACAGTTTAGTGGGAATTTTATTTCTTTGAATAAGTCAAGTGATATAAATAATTTACTGTAATAAAAAAAAACAACACACACAGGCAAGATCTGATTGAAAAAAAAAACAAAAAAAAAAACAACATTCTCCCAACACCTTTAATCGCTGAAAAATAGTACTAAGATACTATATATATAGATTCATATAGATTTATGAAAGTGTCATGTTGGGAGGACGTTGCGAAACAACAATGGGAGCAAGAAGCAGGAAGCATGGATTAGTTTGTCAGGGATTTCAGGTTTATTTGCATTGTTTTTTGTTTTTTTTCCCCCTTAGTGCTTCTAAAGACAAGCAGTATTCCTAAAATATTCAAATGTAAGGAACCAGAAGAATGCCTCCATGTACTTTAGAAGTGATTTCCATCTGACATGTGTCTTTTTTTTATACATAATACAAAGACAAACATAAAACATCATCAGTTAATCAGATTCTGTGTTAGAATGCTGAGAGGCAGCCAGCTGGCATCAAGATAAAATACACACCCAAACTATTTACAGTACATTTCCTTTCGACGGTACCTTGAACCACTCTTAAGTCAATACACACAAATGGACACAAAACATTTAATACTTCCTTGAAGGCGGCAGCGGTCACAGTAGGCTCACGCCGCCCATTAAGTCTGGCTCTACTCGAAGTACACTCAACTATTGCATCTATCAGGACTTCTCTGGAACCTCGCTCGGAGGACACCAACAGTGTTTTCTACCTCTCTGCTGCTTCACAGAGCAAGGCAGGACTACTCTGTATCTACACGTTCCCTTTATAAAAGTCTTTGGCAGAGGAAAATAAAAGCACAGCTGTAGAAAATAGAGAAGGAAACCACCGTGATACAGAGACACAGAGGCCACAGCCTCGAAGCTGTGGGGATGGTGGAATGGCACAGATGTGCAGAAAGGACACCGGAGACCAGCGGGCTCTCATGATGGTGCATGCTCGTTCCACAGGACTGCACCACACAAAGTCATCAGATTATCGAAAGAAAATTTGTTCATCATGCGTTAGAATGCAAACGATGCCGAACTCCCCCAAATAGTAATTCTGGCAAAAAGCATACATAGAATATCATAAGAACTGACCAGAAAGGGAAGCCTTTGACCACACAAGGTGCTCTGTTATCTCCTCACATAGGTTAACATACATGAGTATTTACAGGAAGTTGGAGGTCTTTTCATATACAGTCTCTCGAGTCACTCGTCTTCACTACATGGCATTAAACAGAAGAAGGTGGAATGGAAATGGAAGTGAAGATACAGTGCTCTGCAACAGTATTTATACCTGTTAAAACCTTTCATTGTTTGAGACAAACCAACGCAAGGTGGCATGTGTTTCTGGGAATTGGATGGAAAAGAACGATTTAAACTTTTTTCTTGCAAATAAAAATCAAAGAGTGGGGTACATTTGTATTCAGCCCCGCTGAATGAAATCCAAAAATAACTATTTTCTTCAGAAGTCATCTAATTTGTGCTATAAATATACCAGTAAGTACTTTATTCTCAGTCTAAATACTAAGCTGTTCTTTGAAAGAGCTCCATGGCTATGGTTGCAGAATCTGACATGTGACTTGTTCACTCTACAAATTTTGACTCTTCTAGAAAAGTGGCATGAAGGAATCCATAGCTGCGCCAAATGAAGTCCTAACTTCAGCTTACCCACACACCTTACTACATATGGGAGAATCAGTAAAATTGTGGAAGATTGTGCAAAATAGAGACCAAAACGGAGCCCTACACACACGGTGCCAAACACTAAAAACCACCCCGAATGCACCAATTCTACTGCATGGTGATGGCAGCATCATGCTGTGGGGATACTTTTTTTTTTTCCAGCAGGAACATGGAAGCTAGTCAGTCAATGGGAAGATAGAAGGAGCTAAATACAGGGCAAACTTGGAAGGAAAAAATGTTACAGGCCGTAAAGAGTTTAAATTGGAGGACGTTCATCTTCCAGCAGGACAACAAACCTTAAACCTGTAGCCAGAGCTACAATGTGGAGGTTTGGAAAGTGTATATTCATGAGTTGGAATGGCCAAGTCAAAGGTCATATCTGATTGGGGAATCTACAGCAAGACTTGAAAACTGATGTTCACAGACTGAGTTTGAGCTGTTTTGGAAAGTTGGTAAAAACATAAAACCCGAAGATGCAACTGCAGCGAAAGTTAGTTTTGCAAAGCATTGAGTTAGAGCTGAATACAACTGCATGCCACATCTTTAATATTTTTCTTTTTAACAAAAATAATAATGATAACAATAATAATAATAATAATAATAAAAACACTTGATGCAACATTTTCCTTCCCTTTCCAAACATGCACAATGTTTTGTTTTGGTCCATCACATAGAATCCCAATCAAGCAGTTTGATGTTCATTGTTGTAACGTCACAACATAAGAAAGAGGTCGAGGAGTACAAGTACTTGCTGCACAAGTGCACTGTAAGCTTCCTGCTCTGGTTTTTACAAATCTTTTTACAGTACTTTTTACAAATCAGTAAATTAATGGCTGCAGTTCCACAGTTTACTCAGTTAAACAAAATTTCAATTCAAAAGCTTGTGCAATTTAGCAAAAAGCATCATGTCTCCAGATACCAAAAAGTTTATTAACTGCAAATTAAGGCTATTCCCTATCTTCTCCCAAAAATTCAGAACTTTGGGATTAAAATGACAATCATTATATATATGTAGACAGGAACTGCATTCCAGGATGAATTGCACTGGTTCTCTGGTATGATAAATAATAAGAATAATATATATACATATAAAAAAAAGCACTCGCATAGACATAATCTAGACATGAACAATGTAAAACAAAAAAAAAATAATAATACTTTATTATGGGAAAAGTGCACAGTTTCTTTCAATAATATTAAAAAAAAACACATTTAACTCTTGCTCTCCTGTTCACTCACTCGTCATATGTCGTATCTTACACAGCAGACCAAGGACTCTTCTTCTTCTCCACAAGCCCTTCAGTATCGTTTTTTTTTCTGTCACAGTAAACTACCCTGGTACCTCCAATGTAGCTTCTCAGTTGTCATTTATTAATTTTTTTTTTTTAGTAGTTGAACAGATACCATTTGTAACCTCATGCCACAGTACACAGTTTCTAGTCCTCTAAATACGATTATAGTTACATCTCTGTTAAAGAAGAGATGGGCTGAATGGGATGTCACGCAGATGCTCTGTATAGATAGAGAATGTGGAAGATTAATGCAGCTAGATCCCCCCCCCCAGACGTAAGCGCCAGAAATCAACTCAAAGCGCGCAGCGTTCGGTGAACTCAGAAGATTAACCCTGTTAGTACCACGCCAAAAAGCAGAAGTTAGCTTAAGTGTATGTAGTGTGGTCAGCAACAAGCATGAGTGGCGCCAAGAAGTAACAAGCAGGAAAATGGAGGTGGCGTCTATATAGTCAGTAGAGTTAGACAGCTCCATCAGGGGTCCCGCCCACTCAGTCCCCCCACCCGTCGGCAAGAAGTTGCCTGTAAGATCTAGATCTACAGTTGACTTGAGATCAATGTCTAGGGGCAACTTCAACCCAATCGCCTCTCAGTCTGGATGAAAAAAAACAAAAAAAAAACAGAGTTTATGCTCCCAGGTAAGGAAGGGACCACTAGCTCTCGTCTATGTTGAGGCAGATGAATTCCTGGATGCACTTCCTATACTGCTGCTCAGTGGGGCTGCTGCTTGGATATTGACCTGGTTGACCCAGCGGAGCCTCCGCCTCGCGCATCTCCTCGTTCATCCGCGCCAGTCGCAACCTGGAGGAGGGAGGGCGGGGGAGGAGGTGCAGAGGGGCAGAAAGAGACAAAGGGGTGAAAGAAATGGGTTAAAAACAGATTAAGAGCAAGTGCAAATAGACACACAAAGGGAGGAAATGATTGGCGATGATATGTGTTGTATCACGCAGGAAGGCTTAAGTGGAAATTCAATTTTAACGGTGCGGCCTATAGGAGAAATACCACAGATCCAGAAACGTGAAGCAAAAAGTATAATAAATTATCAAACTGGTTTAATCTAAAATAGAAAAGCAACAATTATTCCTGCTGCTGCTGCTGCTAAAAATATAACATACTGATGATTATAGCTGTGGTAGTATCTCATACAGCAGTTTAAGGTTAAATATAATATCAAATCAATTGAAAGTTTCTGACAGACTTAAGAAATCAGTTGTGGGGAAAAAAAAACTAGTAAAAGCTAATTGCTACTAAGATAAAAAAAAAAAATCAGTTCTTATGATTTTAAACATATTTAACGACCCATTAGTAATGTGATTGTGTTGTAGTGTTTTTAATTAGAGGATTCTAGAAGCCTATTAAAACTGATCAGTAAAGACGCTCAATTTATTGCAAATTCAGTCACAGGGTTAAATGAATCTTTTGTGGTAAAAACTCACTCACTGGTGCTCAAGGCAGCTCCAATAATAGAACAAGTTAAACCAGTTTTTCAATAAAAGAGTCCTATATTTTGAATTTTGGCAGAGAAGTATATTGCAAGGAGAGCATTTCTTTCTACTACTGCTAAGTTATGACTTTGGTGCCGAGAGATCTTCCGCTTTTCAGTGAGTCTGTGTCTTGGTGCGAAAACTCGAAGTTCTAGCACCAGTTTAGCTACAGAACAGGTTTGGTGGGGAAAACCCCCATGAATAATTCAGGCAGTAGCAGCAGGTGATTACTAATAAAGCACTTGATGATTGTAATTCCTCACAGCGTGACGATGTCTGCGTTGGCAGCCTGGACAGCGATGCTGAGGGGGTCGTTGCCCTGCTCGTCCACTTCCGTCTGTGATGCTCCTCTCTTGAGAAACAAACACACCTGACTGTACAACAGAGGCAGAAAGGGACAAGAAGCCCATCATTCCCAAATACATGGAAAAAGGAACAACGGAAGAAGCTTGGCGACCGATTTGTCACTGAAATCGGTGTGTTTTATCCACCCTCCTTCTTTTAAATGTTTACAAACACTTCATAGCTATTCCCCAAAATGATGCAAGGTCATGAGAGACAATGACTAAGCCAACTGACAGACTTATGATTCACGGTTCAAGTGCTACATGCCGACTTTGAGAGTATTGCCACACTGAAGACGGACCAAACAGGAACGTTTTGAATCTCCTGACGCAAATGTAATCTGGAGAAAAAAATTTTCACGAGCAACAACAAACACCACGTCATGAGCCACCCACTAGTTTTTGGAAACTTGAGTCTTTCCTGAAAGCCATCGGACATTTCCTTTAAATCCCAATCTTCTTATTACACACACTGGTGTGTGACGCATAGGTAGTTATTCCTCTGAAAGCCTCTTACCCAGTGTGGCCCATGTAGGTAGCGTGGTGAAGCGGGCCCCTGCCTCTCATGTCTCTCTGGTTCACATCGGCTCCGTTCTGGAGCAAGAACTCACAAGCGATTAAAGAGCCCTGGAAGACAATCAGACAGAGATGCCATTCACTTTGTGGAAGCTAATCACTTATTAGCCAACATACCCACAGCCTGACTTTAAACAGTATTTGAGACCAAAAAATGGAGGGGAAGTCATTGTTCTTTGTAACAATATTAATAAACACACACTGATAGAAGTGAAATTTGTCAAAACATGTTTAAATTCAGTTTGTGATATGTAATAAAGATGGTAATAAAAACAATTACATTTCAACTATTCGTGTTCTGGCAAGTAAACCAGTTGTTTAAATTTTTATAGCTAAATGTCCAGTTGTCTGGAACTGTAAAAAAGATGCAAATGAGTCACAGTTATACCGGAATTAAAACTGAAACTCATTTTGTGATGTAATACAATCTAAGACAAAGGCCGCTATCAGATAAAAGCGGATGTAAAAACCACAATGTTTTCTTTTATTGTTTTAGAAATGTATATATTTTTATATGATAGGAAATGGAATGAAGCATTGAAAGCCAAATCTTTCTCTTGACATAATTTTCAGTTTTCCATATTTATACAGAATTAAAAAAAAACAAAAAAAAACTATAAAAGTAAATTCCATTTACAAACTTTTCAAAACTACGTAGGAACCCTGTTTAATCCCGGATACGCTTTCAAATGAGAAATGATGATACTGACACCTAAAAAATCACAAAACACATCCGCTTGATAACTGCGAGGCGTTACTGGACCAAACACAACAGATGTTGCGCCGTCTTCCATTTAAATCACAGCGTCTGCTAAAATATATTTAAGTATGTTTCTATTAACACTGAGCCTGCAGACAGTCCAAAAAGCCTCTCACCCCGACCACAGCCTGTATGAGAGCCGTTTTTCCCTCCTCTTCTTCGTTGGTAGCGTGCACATCAGCACCGTGCGCCAGTGCCTCTGCCATCAGGGGCAAATTGTGGAGGCGAGAGGAGCGATAGAGCAGCGCCCCAGGATGCAACTCCCTGGGATCCTCGGGATCCGAAGACCCCTCCTGTTCGATCTCCACTTCCCCACTGGAGGACTCCTCCGACTCCTCTTCTGTTAGTGAGCAAACGAATAATGGCCATTAAAATTTAAATCGTATAAAACACAAAATAAATAGTGTTCAAGCTCCCTTTTACTCTTCTAGATGTACAAAAAAAAAAAGATCAGTGATCAGATTCGGCCCTTTTTCAGCTTTATCTTATATTTTATCTTCATCTTATACATTTTTTGTTTTGTTTTTTTCTTCCTTAGCTCTTTCCTTTGGTTTGTTGTATTTCCTTCTAATTCATGTAAAGCCCTTTGAACTGCCTTGAAATATGCCATATAAATTAAATTACCTTCCCTTTATCAGTCCTGACTACCAACCAAAAAGTAAAAAAAAAAAAAACGGTATATTTTTCTGACCAGTGAACACACCATTTGTAAGAACTGCTAGGTAGCTGTAAAACACTAAAAGCTAGTTTAGAATGTCATCTCTATATGAATTTGTTTTTAACTAATTATTCTCTCACGCAAACAGTGTCACATTCGCCTTGCTCACATACGATAACGAACGAACACTCACAGCACGAAGGCTAGAAATAATATTTAAACATTTCTCCTTCAGTTATAGCTCTTAAATATAAATCCTAATAACAGACGGACTCGTTGTACCTTCCTCCGTCACAATGCCAAACACGAGGATGTCGGTGCTGCCGTCTGTGCTTCCTCCCAGGCCGCTGTCGCTGCTGAGACCTGCAGGGCCAAGCATCGCCAAGCCACGGACACGTTAATCACTACACACGCACAATTTCCATCTCCTAAGCAAAACCCAAACAACGCGCTGGAACTGAATCGCCCAAAATCACTGCAGTTGATGTAAGCAAAGGCGACGGAAATTTTCTTCTCTCTACGTTAATATTATCCAAGTTGTGGACTTACTGCGAGGACCAGAGCCGGTGTCAAAGTAGGAAAACAGGGAGTCCAGCTCGTCTGGGCAGAACAGGGAGTCCCGTCGAAATTTTGCTGCGGGGGCTGCAGATAAAAAAAAAAAAAAAAAAAAAAAAAGTTAAAAAAAGGGGGGGGGTTTTTTTTTTTTTTTTTTGTTTTGGGGGGGATTTTTAAACCTTTT